CTAACGTTGGGGAAGCAATGTTTGCACTTCTTGCCTCTGTGCCTCACCGATACCCACGAGAATGTGTTGGTCGAAGCGAACGGCCACAAACAGCAAGTGCGCCACGACCTGGGTTGAGGCAGACTGCCGGCGAGCTGAAATCGCTCAGGCAACGATGCAGCTTGCCACATCTGGCCGTGTTCTGTACAAGATGCTTCGTCCCCCCCCTTTATCGGTGGCGGTGCCAATGGGGGTGGGCGGGCTAGCCCTCCTTCTTCTTGCCATTCTGGCTCCGGAATAGCAAGCATCGGTTGGGCTCTCGCCAGAAGGGACTCAACCTCGGCTCTGATGCGAACAAGCGCAGCGCCGTGACCGGACTCGATTGCTAGCTCACTGAGGTGAGCAAGCGGAGCATCCCGAATGTAAGCCAGGATGGTGTCCCCGCCCCAACGCAAGCTTGTTTCCTCTCGCAGGGCTCGCAAGGGCGTTTTCACCAATCACGGGAACCCTCCCACGGAGCTTGCAGTAAAGCTTCTGGCCTTCGAGGGGGTTACGAAGTAAGGATTCTTTCCCGAATACCAATGGAAATCGAACCCTTCATCCATGCACCGCCGACCAACCGAACAGACCGGAGGCGTGGACTCCACAACGTAACACTCCAACGTGCTTCCTATAGCTCTGGAACCTCAAGCTTCACAGACTTGTTGCCTTGCACAGGTCCGTTGGCTGCAATCAGAGATGCAGGACGATTGGAGACCTCTACCGGAGTAGTCGGGAAGTGGGCCTGGTGATCATGCTTGCTGATGAGATCTTCCTCGCTTCCTGTGTCCGCTAGAAACTCGAATCCTGGGACAAGGCCGGCACATGCAGGGCGAGTCAGCTTTTCGCAATGCTCACACACGAACCCTTCCTCTTCGCATTCGTAGTCACATGACGTTTTCACGTTCGTGCACATACACTGAATGACCCTTTCGAACTGCTTAGCCCACAGAATTGCGCGCTTGGTGTCCTGGGAATCCGGCCTCGGGCAATCCCGGGCTGTAAGATAACTCTCCGAATCAGCCCTTGGGAGATAGGAGTGCTTCTTCCGCTTACCCTCGGGTTCGATTGAGATCATGATGGGCTCTTCGTTGATGCTAACTCGGGGCATTGGCCTCAAGTAGAAGATGGTCTTTCCTACCCACAGATCATCCGGCTTCCCAGGGAGCGCTTTCCTCCAGTCATACTGTTGCTTAGCAACATAGGGCTGAATCGGCAAGACCCTTTCAACCTTAACCTCACCCTTGAGCTTCTTGAAGTTGACAGGGCAAGAGTTGTCGGGTACATACCAATCTTTCCTGTAGATTCTGTGGTGTCGAATGAGCCTACCAGCCTTGAAATCTACCTCCCACGAGTCCTCCAAACGTTCAGCTACGAACTGCGCCCCCGTCGCTCTGGCCGTATGTCCAGTAAATGCTCGTGCCTCATTATGGTGGCGGAGCGGGAGGCCAAGCTGGGCCGCAATGTTCTGGAAGGCGTTTGCCCAACCGCTCTTTGACGTTGGGCCGCCTTCTTTGTCCACGAAAACGGGGTCCTGCGGCCGTTTGCCTTGCAGCAGTAAAACCATGCAGTGAAAAGGGCAGAGCTCCGGGTGCAAGACGGCGCAGGAACACGAGTGTTTCCGAGTGGCACCTAGGGCTGCAACATCGGTTTTCGACGAAGGAAGCAGCCACGAAATGGTCTTGGTGCCCCAGTCCACAGTAATGTGCTTCACTCGCGCCCTGGAGGCATCTATTTCTCTAAGGATCCACCAGGAAGCCACCACAGTGGAAGTGACTGGCCGCGCTGGGCCGCCCGGGGCCTCGCACGAAGCCTGGTCAACGCCGACCAGCTTTCCCAAAAAAAGTGCCGCTGCTGCCTGCTTAGCTGGGCCGATGCCTCTCGCCCACCCCCGACGATACTCCTGCAGCTCGCCATTCCTATTTCTTGCTGCACCCTCTGGCTCAGCACGCCCGCATCGTGTCCTTGGGCGGCCGCACCCGCGATGGGACGCTCGAGAGCAGGTCCTTGGCGAAGGATGCTGGCCTTTCCCTGAACCGTGCGAGGCTCGGTGGCGTTACTTAGAGGCCAGAAGGCTGCTCTATACGATCTCTTAGGCTTGGGCATCGGAGGCGCTCGCAACGGCACCTAGCACAAGCACACACAACGAAGCAGAGAGAGAGAGAGAGGGGAGAGAAGAAAGAAGAGCGGGGCCGAGGAAGGCGCAGGGAGGCAAGAGCGGCACACACAGACAAGGCTGCACTCACGACCGGGCGCTCCCTTCTTTTGCTTTGCTCACACTTTCCAAAAGTCGTTGTCGAAGCGGACCCCGCCACGAGGCACCCCCAAAAGCTCCTTTGGGAAGTCTTTCGCTTCCGGAGCGAACTGGCGCCACAGTGCGTCTGCTTGCACATTCGTGATGCCAGGTAAGCGCACCAGGCCTTTGACCTGGTAAGGTCGGGTGGCCTTGTCATAAGCGATCTCGCGGGCGAGGACGTTCAGCTCTGGGGACTTGGCCCGCCCCTTAGACAAAGCAAAGAGGACTCCCAGGTTGTCCGACTTCGCTCGGAAGGTGGCGCCGTGCGCCAAGGAGGGCAGCCAGAGCCGGAAGGCTGCTAAGAGCGCCAGTCCTTCCCACAAAGTGTTGTACTTCGGCAGCCCGCGCTCGGCCTTGAAGTGGTGGAGGACGGAGTCGGGGATGTGCGTGAAGAAGTAGGCTGTGGGACGGCCACCCTTTCTTCAGACTGCTCCCAGGCCCCGTGGCGAGGCGTCCGTCACTATCTCCAAGGTGCTGGCACGCGTAGAAGACCCGATTGTGTTGCCACCGCCAAGGAGGGCTCGCACCCAGCCCAATGCCGGGCTGATCCGCCGGACATGAATCCACTTTCGGGCCACTTTCAAGGGTCGGCCCTCATTCGTTAATCCATGCCTCGTCAGTACAGCCCAGAACGATGCCAGGAAGGGCCGCAGGTGTGGCACCAGCCCTGCCACGAATGACAACGAGCCGGTATAAGACCGAAGCTCGCGGCACCCCACCGCCGGCTTGGCGAGGAACTTGTTGGTGTCGCGGAGGAGTGCCTCGATCTTGGCCGCCGGGAGGGTGACCACGACGGCTTGTTCGCAGTCGATGCACCGGAGCCGCGCTCCAACCCATTCGACGTCTTTGCCCCCCATTGACCGGGTATCCAGTCGACTGCTGTCCAGAGAAGGACCACCGTGAGGTCGCTGGCCGCTGTTTCCAGCTCGGGGCCGTCGAGGACGTACATGGGGTCGTCCACATAGATCTGCACATCGGACGCGCTGGTGGCCATTGCGGTGCGCCCCAGCCAGGCCGCTGCCCGACCCCACACGGTGACCCAAAGACCAGGGCGTTGAAGAGGACAAGCTGTGGCCGCTTCCCCTTGTTCCGTTTCTTCGGGATGGCCGCGGCTGACCGTCGGTCCCGGCCAGCAGGGATATTCATGAAGGCGTCGCGAATATCGATGCACGCCATCAACGCGGCGCGTCCCCTGCGGTAGGCCGCAAGGAGGGAGGCCACAACGTCCAGGAGCCTCGGGAGTTGGTGGCAAGCCCGGTTGACCGAAGACTGGCAGAGGTCCCAGATCACCCTGACCCCTGGCTTTCTTGACCTTTCGCCCACGAGCGTCGGTCTTCTCCTTGACGAGGACGCCCAGCTTGTTGAGGACCGGTGGCCCGCCAAGGATGCGAGTGGCCTGGACCACTTGGCAGAAGGCTCGCGCCTCGTAGTCCCGGATGAGCTCGTCCAGGACCCCGGCTTCTTCCTCAGCACTCTTGTAGTTGGTCCATCCTTGGAGGGCCTGTCGGTCCAGCTCCTCGGGCTGTGCTACCCCCACAGGGTCGACCCGTGGAAAGACCCCATTGCAAGGGATGCTCTCGGCAATTCCGAGCGGGGCTCCATGCCGAATCTGGGTCGTCTGTGGCCTCGCCAGGGCTCATGACCTCAGCACGGAGTGGCGTCTTGGCTGGGCCGTCCTTGTTCTGGGCCTGGCCTTGTTGGCTCCCATGTGTGGTGAGGCTGCGGCGCGGATGCTCTCGATGACCTTCGAGTCGAACTTCCGGGGCTCGTTGCCTTTGAGGAGGGCGGTGGCAGGCTCGCGCAAGGTTGGCCATTTCTCCATGCTTATGGCCCGGCCGATTTTCGTCGTCCTCCCGGACTGTACGCGGAGTCTTGGCGCGTAGGGCCTCGAACTCCGCCGTAGGGTCAGCTCCTCAAAGGGACTCGGCCTCCAAGGTCCGCTGGCGATAGCCCTGGAAGAGCGAGCGCGCGATGAATTGGGAGAAGTGGGGCGTGTACTCGCCTTGGCTCTTAGAGGCCCATTGGCTGCCCTTGGGCCCGTGCTCCCTCTGTCCAGCGGTGCTTCCGTGCGCACCCCGGCCGTGGTTGCAGCGGAGGCCGTCGAGTTCGCCAAACCCAGAGGCGTGGGCGCTGCGCATAACCTTCGTTGGCTTCACCGTCCCGAGCCCCAAGCGGCACTAGTCGAACTGGGCCGTGGCGATGCGATCCAGCTGTCTCGGTTCTCGATGGCCCAGATAAGGCGGCGGTTCCAGGCCGACGAAAGTATGTGGAAGGTGCGCTCCACTGTGCCTCGTCCAAGACATCGCACGGCGTGTCCGCGATGGTGTCTACGCAGCACACGTAGAAGCCGTAGTGGACCAGCCAGCTCGCGAGGTCGCCGGGCCTCTTCTGGCCGGGTGGAGCGCCCGATGCCTTGGACTGGGCCGTGCTATCCACCAGCGCTGCCTTGATCTTGGGCTTCGGCTCGGCGTAGTGCCCACTGTGTGAGGTCCCAGGTGGACCGGCCTCTGCCGAGCCACCCCCCGGCAGCATTAGCTGGCTGGGTCCGGGGTCAGGCCTTAGTGCACTCCGTGGCGGGATGCGGGCCTAGGCAGCGGTTGCACTGGTTTGCTTGTCCTTGCATTTGCCCTGCGGCTGTGCTGGGACAGCCAAAGAGCAGCCCGGCCCGGGTTCTTACCATGCCTCCACCCAGGCGTGGAAGGTCTTCAGGACGGCCTTGTTGTTGCTCGAGGTGGCCGATGCTGAGAGGCTGCGGAGCACGTGCGCTCCTTTGTCACACAGTTCTCGGACAACTGTTGGTGGCTCATCTACCGGGCCAAGAACCGCCTTCGCTGCGAGCACCTGGAGCGCATCAGGAGGACGCTGGCCGACAAGCCCGAGTTTGGGTATACACAGGCCCGTCCGTGGAATGCCGTCAAAGACAGCGACTACTGGACACGAGAGCTGGTGACTCCAGCTGCTCCTTCTTAGACCATTCACCCGTCGCCACGTTGAGGGTGTAGGAGGTGAAGGTCTGTTTCCTCAAGAGGCGCAACCCATGCGGACGACCCCGCCGTGATCACTTGCTTAAGGGAGGCCAGCTGATCTGACGAAGGGTCCGCGTCGGGGCTGAGAAAGTCGCCGTACTTGGCCCGGTAGTCCGCGTACAGCTTCTGCAGCGCCGCGGTACCCAGCGGGGTGACATCCGCGTCCAGGGTGGGGTCAAGGACCGAAGACAACTTGAGCCTCCTAGCACCAGGAACGGCAGTGCCGGAGCTCGGTCCAGGGCCCGCTGCCGGTGAGGCGGTAGGCGGGCCTGCCTCCAGGCATGTCCGGGCACCATCTCATCCCAGGCTGTCCGCGGGACGAGGGCCAGCTCTCGCACGCGAGCTGGGTCGCCCGAACGCCTGGAGCTCCGTCTCCGTGGGATGCATTGTAGAGGGCCGGGCCTTCGTGCAAGACCGGCCCGGGCGCCGATGCTCGCCTCGCAGCTCGACTCCTCAAGTTCGGCCGAGACTCCGGCGAGTTCCTCAAACTGTAAGTCCCGAGGTGGGCGAAGGGCAGGCTGAGCCGACGGCGGCTCCGAACAAAGTTCCAAGGCCCGTTTGGAGATGGCCTCCCACCTCCCAAGTGGGGAATGCACCGGCGCCGGCGGGATCCGGCCTACCACGGGTGCCGTCCTCGAGCGAGAACAGCAGCTACTTGTATCGCAGCAGAAGACGAGGACCCAGACGCAAAAGCACAGACTAAGGAGTAGCCACTCGGTCCCGGTCCCTTCCAAGAACAACACCAGTGGTCCGCCTGAGGCGAAATCCCACCGATGTCCTCCCGGAACGACCACCAGGTCCATGCAGCGTCCTCCCACCTGTTCCTGGATGACCCCTGAAAAGTCGGGTATCACCCTTGAGACCAAAATGGCCACGGGATACCTCAATCCCACCATCCACGCTTGCGATTGTCACTGCAACATGACGCAAGCTGTGTTTCTCACCACAACGAACCAGCGAATCTGCAATCTATTGAGATGTGGCATACATGCACCAAGCAACGTGAGAAGACATACTGATGAAAACAGCAACAGATGGCAACGCAACTACCAAACAAGGTGCAACGACAACAACACGATGTACACAGCATGCAAGGACACAACCTGATTTCAACTCTCATGCACAAAGCAAATCTGCTGTCATAGCTGCAAATGCACCTTTATGGATGTTTAGCATGAAGCTTACGTTCACAGTGAAGTGCGCCTCGGACCTGAGTATTCGCATTTTAGCAGACCACCATGGAAGTGCGTGGCAGCAGATGGAGCAGACCAGGACCGAAGCCAAACGCGTGTCAGATGCCTACTGCTGAAACCGCAAGCGACACTGTAGTGTTGCATGCTGTCGCATCCGGGGATACGCTTTTGAGCCCGCGCCGCTTCACTCCCAAAACCTTTGACAGGCCGAAGAAAAGCTCGTGCATTTGCCAGGATGTCGTAAGATGTCGTGGCATCGTCGGTTCGTTGTGGGCTTGCAAAGAGGCCCACAAGCTCTGGTGCTGAGCATCCACCCAGCGTCACCCACTCATGATTCTCCGCCCTCTCATTGGCTTCATGCCTCTGGTGATTGAAAGCCAGCACGGCCAGGCTCACGTTTGGCAAGGTCGGGATGGACTTGCCGTGTCCCAATTGTGCCTGCATCTCTGCCCAGCAAGCTGTTCGATGCTATCAGGGCAGCATGGCCCCGCTGTAAACCACACATCCATCCATCCATCCAATCCTTCAATTCAGCCATCCTTCCTTTAATTCAGCCACGCATCCACCCAGCCACCCATCCACCCAGCCAGCCAGCCAGCCACCCAGCCAGCCAGCCAGCCACAAACCCAGCCATCGACGCCTCGACTTTAAACCTTTCCATATGCCGTTCTAGCAGCCCTTTCATGAACCCTGGCACAACCTCTTCTACTCCCCGACGACCATGACGACCACGGCCACTAGCTCACGAGGACCGCCAAGAACAAAACGACGACCACGAGGGGACCACAAGGAGACCAGGAGACCACCAGGAGAAACCCCAGCAGACCACGCAGAGACCACCAGGATACCACCAGCAAACCCCAGAAAACCACAACACTGGCGCGATTCAGGACCACGGCCAAAATGCTTTTCCTACAAGTACCTGCGTGATTTAGGAGGATTCCGGGGCACGGCCACAATGCTTTCCCCAGACACTGGTGCGAATCAAGACGGCCGAAATGAAATTGATTCCTCGAAGCCGAAATATGGTATGTATTGGACGTTATATCGGGTTCTGCGAAGACACGGCAGCGCGCCACAACGGGATGACACCCGGCCAGCGCTTCTCCCCTTGCACAGACTGTCGAGGTTGCACTCTGCAAAGATGCGGGCAGGCTTGTCAGGAAGAATCTCTTGTAATGGTGGCAAACCGGCACGGGTAAGCAAGAGACTCTCAGGCGGAATCGACTCTTCGGCGGCGACAGAGGGAATATTCTTAGCAAAGTGCAACAGCTGTCTGTCCTGCAGGAACCGCTGCTCATGGCGGTGTGGATCATAGAAACCTTTCCCATACTTGTCGCAGTAGTCCCACCTGACACACCACATCTGCGCATTGTGGAGCATGGTTCCGGATCCAGCTCTCTGAAGCTTACTTGAATCAGAAAGCTCTGAATTTTGAAGAGCCACCATCTTTCTTTGAAGCGCTTCGACTCGCGCTGACCTCGCTTGACCTGACTCCCATAACAAGTGTAGACATGTGTAGACCATACATCCGAGCATTATCCTTGCCTGATCCGCGAGGACACCGCCTTTAGAACCTCCGTGACGAACACCCGCCATGACCAGCCCACTCTGCAGGTTTACTTGGCACAGGCTTAACACGGTGGCCTTTGCTGCCGTCCCCGGGCTTCGCATCGCTGCCGGCCCTGCCAAAGATAGGCTGCCTAATGGACTGCTGCGTCAGTGTGCTGCGCATGAGGGGCAACAGAATCAACGAATGTTGATTGCTAAAGACTCTGAACGAAGGAAAGAACGAGTGGGTCTTGGGCACCGCTTTCAGACTCACTATGGCAAAGCAGAAAGAACTCCGCGCACCTTTTCGTTGGCCTGCGCTGCCGCCCGAGTTCAGGCATGTCACGACCACAGAAGGCTGTGAGGCAGGAGTTTTGCAGTGGGTTGGCGCAAACACATTTGATGCAAGCGAGGGCGCATGACATGTAGGATTTCCGGCCTAGCGGCTTCCTGCGGCGCAATGCAGGGTGAGACTATTTACATAGAGGTGCTGAGAAGTCAACCGATATGCTGGCACATCCATGCTGGATACAGAAAGTAATGCGTGCCAGTCCAGAATATGAAATTCGAGCATGCGCCTATGAGTTCGCTCTGCGACTGCGAAACAAGAAGGTCATTCGTCATTACGGAGCAACTGCTTTTTATGCTGGTGATCTTCGCATCTTAATCCTAGCATGCCGCTCTGCCTCAATGCTTCGCGATACTGTACCACCTGGAAGCCTGAAAAAAAACACGATGCGACGGTGACAAACCGTGCAAGAAGTTGGCAGCTTGCTGATGGCAGAGATTGGCCGAGCCTGCTCTCGCAGGCTGCACACGTCATTCGCCATCCTCGCGTTGCAGACTGAGGGCCGAGTACCAGTGCCACGCTCTTCGAAGAGTCCTCTCCAGGCACCTCTTCCTCTGGCGGCCCTATCCCACCTCGCGGCTGAGGCTGGTAGTCTCCCGCAGACGCCATAGACCCTTTCCCATTCCATGTCGGAGGGTTCCCGCCTGCCACGGCGTCGTCTGTCATTCGCGCACCCGTAGCTAGACGGTCGACCACCTTGAAACAGGTGTCTCTCATCGGCTGTTCCACATGATCCATGTTACTCCATGAGCCGTCCAAACACTCGAAATGAAACTCTATTTCCCAACCTCTTTTTCTTGCGTACTCACTGGCACTGCACACATCGTCAATAAGAGATCGGCCGTGGTGATGCGCTTCCGCAGCTTCAGAGTGTCCTGCATGTAAACCTACAGCGAGTTCGATCTGTTCGGGCAGTCATCTTGCTGACCCTCTTGCTCAACGGAGCTGCTGACCGTCTAGATTGGCTTCGCTGGACATCTATAGTCGCGGGGCGCAAAAACAAACTGCTTGCAATGCTCCAACACTAAACCCCTACTCTGGTGTCCGCCACGGATTGCGAAAAGTGCCCGTATGGTCATGTAGTGACCCTCTTCGGCCCAAGGTCCTGAGGCACCTTCATAGGAGGAGGCAAGCTGTTGCCTTCCTTCACGCTTCTCGCCTCGGAATCTCTAGGCAGACTAATCACCCAATCGGACCCAGCACCCTGACGCTGAAGAGCCTTTTTGCCTGGGCTTGCTACGAAGGCTTCGCGGACCGCAAGAGAAAGGCCGCAGGATCACAACCGCGTGAACCGAAAAAGAAGCCTTACCTCCACAGACCTCATGGCAAGACCAAACTTCTCGGGCTGCCATGTAGAAGTTGCTTGTGTCAACCTGCAGGTAATAACGCATGGGAAAACCAATGAAGATTTGTATATGTGACAAGACTTCGTACATGTACCACGCTTGAGAGATATCAAAGTTTGCAGACCGCGTGTGGTCGGTCCCCTCATCGTGAGGGTGAAAAACGAAATCAAACATGCACGCTTCATCTTCAAGGAATTCCAGACCCAGAAAGCCACGTTGAGAGGCAAGCTAACAGCTAGATCAGCTCCGCAAGATGCAACGCGTTAAATTACAGCGGCGTGGCGCGTGGTAGGGCCTTGAAATCGGGCCCAGGTCCGAAACTAAAAGAGGAGTTATGTTTGTTCAGTGTTGTTGGAGGCTTGCGCTCCGGACGAATGCAAAACAAAGCATATGGAGTTTTGAGAAGCTGGAAATACTGGAAATGCTGCATTCAGCCTTGCCTTCTATTGAGATGCTGCAAATAAACGCAGCGTTCAGCTGCAGCCACCGCTTTCGAGATGCATTCGGAGCTAGGAATATGGCCGCATCTGGGGCCTCAGGAAGTTTTGTAGATACTGTAGGGCACAGCTGGGGGTGCCACTGAGACCCTGGATGTAGCAGTCTTGCAGCTCAGGATAGGAACAGCAGTAGCAGCCGTCGTCGTCGTCGTAGGAGTAAGGCGGGGGGAGGGGGGGGGGCCACTTACAAGACACCTTGCCCCACT